TTGCCCAACGTCAGACGACATTTATTTTATATTACTTGCACTGGGTGATTGTAATTTTTGTCATTGCCCGAATAACCACTTCTGGCAACTCACGGGTATATAAACCCGGGCGGATCAATCCTCCCGTGACGCTTCTACAAATTGTTCTGAGGTATGTAGATGTGTGTTCCCCGCCGATATAGTCATTCAGTTCAACTTAGTCAATTGTGTGAATATCAGTGTTCTTGTTGTAACAGTGTAATTGTCATTTACCCAGTGTAAGAATTAATATAAAGTAAATGTCGTCTGTCGTTGCTAGACGAAAGATTGTTTGTGACCGAGTCGTCATCATCATCCCCTCCTGTGACGCTTCTACAAATTGTTCTCAGATCCAGTGTGTGGACTATTTGAACACCCCACTGACTCCGGGCACCTAAAAGTTAGCTGTAGTGGACGATGTCCATTCGACATGATTAAAACTGCAAGTCCGCCTCATGGGCCTTAGACCCCAGTCTCGCTACGCTGAGACTACCACCGCTCATAACAGCGGTCGTCAGTTGTGAGATGCCAGTGGCCTATCCTGGGACACGCCGTACAGTTATATGGTTCACAGTGTTTGGTGTATAGGATTGGGGAGGATTATCTGGAATACAATTATCCCATGTTTGGTAGTGAACCCATGTAAACTTGTTTGTAACAAATAACGTGTTGGGTTGTGAATGCATCTTCCATATGTACTAACAACAGTGTAGTGAAGGGACCATATGTGATTTTGTCTTGTATGTAATGAAATGTATCACCAGTAATGTATGAGAAGTAAAAGTATCCACGTGGGATTGCAGTTGAGTCCCTGTAATTATTAGTATCAGTATTCACGTGTTGTGTTGTGTTGCGAGTACATCCTCCATATGTACTACCAACAAGTTCTAGTGAAGAAGCCTAGAGTTGATCCTTGTAGCTGTATGTACAGTAATGTAATGTAACACTAGTAAGGTTGTGAGAAGTAAGAGTACAGTATCTAAGTGAATTACAGTTGAGTTAAGCCAAGGGTTGAGCCTTGTTGTTGTATGTTAATTACATCTTTTTCCCTACTTTAATTTCATATTAATAAACCTTTTCTTAGAGTATATTAGGGGTATTTCTTTCACCTCAGTATCTATCTTTATTTTGTCCAAGTGACCTTGATACCAGAATTACAGTACCCATGTGCCAGACCCTCGCCATGTTACCAATAGAACTGAGGTTATGAAGTAACCATGAACTGAAATATGTAGACAGAACCAAGGAAGGAACTAAGATAGAGAAAGAAGTATGAAATAAGAATAAAAGAGGAAGAAATCGCCGCCCTTAAGGTTGGCCTCGGTGGTTCAGTAGTAGAATCCCCCGCCCTTACAATATATGACCAAGAACCATTGCACCAATATAACTTCAGCCAACACCAAAACGGATGGCATTAACAAAGGCTAAGTCACGTCTTCTTCCTTCACCAGGTTCCCGAAGTGCTGTAGCTCACTAAGTGGTTGACCTCCCCACCAACACTCCTTATATGTCGATCTTCACTTTACTGTCTCTTGTATGAGGTGACCATCTCCTGGGGAAGTGTGTATGAATGTGGTGGCCGAGATTAGGGTGATGTCTTATGGAGGAGGGCGAGATTGTCTTTATGTCTTGTCTAGGGTGGCTGTTATCTGTCTTTATGTCTTGTTTAGGGTGGCTGTTATCTAGGGTGGTTAGTGTCTAGGGTGACTTATATCTAGGCCCTAGGGTGTCTTATATGATACACTAACTGGGATGACTATAGCTCAAGGTAACACCAGTCAGCTGCTCTATCAAGTTACGGCTATACAGAGGTGACCGCTATAGCGCATTATACACTGTCTATATTCATCATCTGAGCCGTCATAAGACATTAACAAACTCGTAATGTTTTCATCTCGCCAGAAGACCTCACTAGATCACATTCACCTGTGTGTGTTAATATTCATATAACTTAACCTTTTCTGACACTCGGAGTATCTTTGTCTGCTAAATTACACGTACAGACACTGACTGACTCTCACACAGACACCAACCACTAATATCCTACAACTAAATATAAACAACTTAATTTTTTGCTACAAAAAATAATGATGTCATCTTGTTCTCTATAACTTGCTGTGAGTCTTTTAAATCTGACATAAAATATCAACTTAGGGTCACTGATTCCCTCACCCATATCACTACACAAGGCACTGACCTATGTGACATGGAAGGTGGTCACATTTCACAGCGTTTACTCGAGTTGGTGGTTACCTCGATAACGCAATACCCAAGACAAGGCTGCTAGTCAAGATGGGTATACATGTCTCACTGGACGCAGGGACAGTCGCAAAGATGGCAAACGTGCACAGTTGTTCTAATAATGTTATAAATATGAACCTTTTTAAACACAGTAAATTGATGAACTTGGTAAATTTGCCAGCTGAAGTATCACACTGGTATGGGCCCCCTACAGATCTAGGACTGCTCACACAAGTCCCCAAAAGTACACAAAACGATATATTTCTAAACCCAAAAGTACAGTATACCTGAAAAGATGTCACCTGTGCCTCTTAGATACTTCAACTAAGGTCAGTAGGAGTCACCTGTGCGGTGTTAGGAAGGCAGAAGTTCCCTCACAGTACCCCAGTCACCACAAAGTCAAACACCTTCTTGAAATCTATACAGAGTGCAAGCAGCGTTTTACCCTTAGTACAATACTAGTAAATTCCTGACTTCTCGAGGATAAACCTGGACCAATTAAGACGATGTGTCTATTCTACAAAACTAACAAAATGAAATATGATAACGATAAATTTTATACCAAGTGTCGGTATGAATAATATGTATAACCTCAATGGTGAATTGACCATGACAGCGTCCTACCTGCCAGCACTAAATGGCAATGATCACGATGGGAGGATATAAATATTCCAGTCAGACGAAGGAGAGGTAGTTGTACGAGAGACACCCCAGGACCAACACCTCTCACACGACACGGAGAAAGTGTATGTATCATCGTTGTAATATTAATCGTCCACCACAATAAAAATGCAAACCACATTGTTGCAAATCTCACTTGTTATTTGCTAGTTGTTCTATGTATTCTCCCCATCTCCAGGACCTGTACAGTGTTCTCATCTGAATAATGTGGCGTTGGGTGGTGCTGGTGGTGCCAACACTACTTGTGGGTGTCGTCAAGGGGGTCAGTTACGACGAGACTGACCAGCTGGAGAAAGGAGTGAACCAGATGGTGAATGATGGACACCAAGGAGGAAGAATTAGGCCAAATGGTGTCACAGGTGGTGAATAAGTACCTCCCAGGTTGCCACCTTGTAGTGATCACCGCCAACGTACTCTCTCCCCGCCTTCTGACATCATCAGGTGAGACACTACTAATGAGGCAGGTGTGTGGTGGGGACGCTCCATCATAAACAACCATAACATCAAGACCTTCAATACGAATATTACTATAAACAAATAAGAAAAACACTGGTGTCACTATTGAACTAACCAGGACCTGCCCTTCACAGATGGCTGGGTTCAAGTCTTCAGGCAACCATGGTAGTTGATGTTGGGTCCTTCCTCACTCCTCCCGCGGCTGCTCACCATGATGTAAGACGACCTGTAGCCGACGACACCACGATGATACGACACCTGGCGGAGGGCGACACTAAGCTCACGTGTAGGGCACTGTTGCTGGACCTAACCTCTGCCTCGTATACTAATGTTTTCATGTAAGATCTTATGGTGGTTTAACTATTTCCCACGATGCTGAGAGTTTTCCCCACGTTGCTCTAAGATTTCCCACGATACTAAAAGTTTTCCCACTATGCTGTAAGATTTCCCACGATACTAAGAGTTTTCCCACGATGCTGTAAAATATTCTCTCTACATCTCTTCCACCTACAGGAATTTTCTAGACACATTCCACCTGTACCTGTGGCCGAGGACCCGCGTGTTGGGCGTTGGAGACAAGACACAGGCGCGGGAGGTCCTTCACCACGCCAGCCTTCACAACACAGTACACGCCCTCTACCTAGGTACCACGCCCGCCACCCCATCCTCAGGAGCAACTTGTGGTAGGCCAGGTGAGGCGAGCTGGATAGTTGGGTAATAGATGGATTGATAAAACGGACAGATAGATAGATAGATGAACGGATAGACAGATTGGTAGATGAATGGAAGGACAGATAGACGGATGGAAGGACAGATTAGATAGATGAAAGAATAAATACGTAGATGAATAGACAGATACAGATGGATGGATAGACAGATAGATGAATGGACAACAGAATGGATGGGTGAGTGGGGATACAGAAAAATGGATGAATATATAAGGAGACCTAAAATAGAAGTAATGGTAGAGATAGACGGATAAATTGACGAACAGAGAAAGAGAGACTACACATTCTTACCTGTCGTTCATTACCCCTTAGTTCATTATTCACTTCTCCCTCACCCCCATCTCCTCCTTCATTCACTTCTTATTCATCTTCCTCATCTATTTATATTTATCACCGTGTTCACCTTCCCTCTCCCACAGGGGTGTGTGTGGGCGGGGTGTGGGCGTACTCGAGGTGTCTCTATTGCTCTGAGGGTAGGCCAGGGGTGCGACCACTAGGGCCATGGACCACTGGCTATGACCTCGGCTCTGGCCACGATCCCTTCCCAGGTGAGATGGCCTTAACCCCTTGAGTGTGATGACTTGACCCCCTTGAGTACAATGACTTAACCCCCTTGAGTACGATAGCTTAACCCCCTTGAGTTTGATAACTTAATCCTCTTGAGTACGATGACTTTAAGACGTCACACTGAAGGAGTCAAGTCGTTGTACTCAAGAGTTTAGAATATTACAGACATATGAATCAATATTACGGACATCTGAATCACGGACACCCGAGTCAATATTACGGACATAAACCTCCAGATTACGAACACCACTCAATACCATGAAGATCTGCTGGTTCATTTCTACAGACAAACGAGTTAGTTTGGCGGTCGTTTCAGAAGAGTTCGAGGACATGATGGGTCACCAGGTTAGGGTGGTGGCCAAGACCTTGTTCCCCTTCATGGAGTTCGAGAGAGACAGTGACGCCCCGGGCACCACCGTCACCCCCAGCGACAGCCTCGACGTGCGTATGTTGGACACCGTCGCCAAGATACTCAACTTCACGTAAGATGTCTTCACCTTCTTGTTAGATGTCTTGAACTTTTCGAAAGACGACTTAAAAGTTTTTAATACTTTATGTTAAACGCCAATGACATCTTCAATCTCACTTAAGCATCATGTAGATCGTCTGGGTCACAATACTCCGGTAGGTACGAGATGCGGATGGCGGTGGACGACCAGTGGGGGACGCAGGTGGACGGTAATTGGACGGGGATGGTGGGGACGCTGGCAGAGGAGAGGGCCGACGTGTCTATGATGCTGTTTTGGTCCCTGGCCAGGAAGCAGGTGATTGACTTCACTAGGATCTATACCTCTGAGCCCTTCATCATGATCACCCACAAGCCCAGACCTCAGCCTCAGCACCTGGCTCTTGTTAGGCCCTTCACAGGTATATATGGCTCTTGTTAGACATTTCACAGTTACCTGACTCACATTAGACCCTTCATAGGCTCTTGTTAGTAATGATAAAAACTTAAGTAAAATCGATACTTCTCAATAAGGTCACAATAAAAGCATAAAGTGAAAAAGGAAGTCAGACAAGGCCAGTTAACCAAGTCAAGACCCCCCTCCCACACAGTACTAGAGACTTCAGAAGGTCAGATAAGATCAGGAACAAGGTCATAGGTATCCTGGCTTGTAATGAGCTTATCTGATTATAGGTTGTTGTTGGTCACATAACACACTAAAGAGTATATTATGCGAGCCTCTACGACCTTCACTAAACACCACACTCGTACACACTATCATCAGGGATTATCTGTAGGCCCATAGGTGTAGCATTTAAAGAATATCCACGTGAGAAAAATATTAAAATGTCAAGTGTTTTAATTCAATAAAGGTTTATGTGATCTCGTGACAATAGGCATCCCGGTTGATTTTATCTAACCTAACCGTCACCAGGTATCGTTAGGGTGGTGAATTGAAACTGCTTCATTAACTCATGAATGTAAATTGGAAATAGCTAACCATTTCTGGAGCATGAGTAAGGGATATAGACCTTTTGCTATCGTATGCTTCCTGTCCTACAAAACACACTTGACTTAATGAATATAAACAAACGTAAACAAACTCTTATAATTCGATGTCACACTAATTTACACTACTCTAAGTTGGTCAAACTTCACCTAACTTTATCTAAACAGTGTATCCCAAGTTAGCTAAGAAGTATGGTTGGCTGTGGGTATCGTCGTCTGCTTAACGCTATGGGGAGATTGTATAGTGAATTTCATCTCTTTAGTTAATCCGCACTTTTGCCGATAATTAAAACAAGACATTGATTTTTGTCTCATTTTTAGCATATTGAATCACCGAATACTGTTAAACTTTTGATATATAGCATACCGATTTTTTGGAAAAGCCGAAAACACCAAAATTCACAAAACAACTCAAATTACGTTCGTGTTATGTTTTAATAATTATTTATATAATTTTCCTTCTGTCATGGTTTCTTTTTCTCTATTTCTCTAATGATCTCTTATCTCCCATCATCTCTTGAGTATAGTTGAGTTATGGGTGGCAGTGTTGGTGACCACTTTGATCGCGGGCGTGGTGTTGTGGGCCGTCCAGAGAGCATGGGCTGGCTTCTCTGGCGGGCGTGGATTAAGTGTGGCTAACGCTCTCATGAAGGCGTGGGGCGTCATAATGGCGGTACCGCTCACCAACATGCCCACGAACCTTACTGGACAGGTAAACATAAACGATTTGCAAAATTCTGAGATGAAGCTGTACGGATGAAAAGTTGTCGTACATCACGGAAAGTTGTAAAGATTAATACAATTCCGTTCTCATCCACCTAGGTTAACACTATGCATTTTAATAAACTCGCACAATTCTTTCATCACGTGTAAAGAAAGTTGCTATACACGTTTATTGAATAGTTGCACAAGTAAAACGGAGTTAATCATATACTGTAGTTAAAAGAGAGTCGTTCATGTCACACAGTTTTAAGGCAGCTTCAGTTGATGCCTTTGTATTGTTTGGCCTATAATACATACTGTACAAAGTTTGAAATAATCTTAGGCAGCTTTATTTACGACTGTGATTTAAAATACGTCTTCCTGGTGTAGGTAGTGATGGTGGTGTAGGACTGTAGTGGTGGTGAGTATCGTCAATCGTAAGACCAGTATTGTACCCAGCATTAGAAACAAACACAACTCTTGAAGCAGTACGGAAGCAGCACACTGTATACTAAACCATCAGGAGAGGACAGATCTGGGCCATACGGCACTCCACATACCCGACTATGAAATTAGGCACCCATTCACAGCTGGGCGGACTGAGGGTACCCCAGTATCGAATCAGCGACTCTTAGAACAGGAGGCGAGCGCTGCCCCCCCACTTATGTTTAGTATTAACATCTAAATAAGGTGGGTTTGTTATGCTGGGGATGCTAACCTATTTGTCCTGATGGGTATTGCAGATGGTGGTGGGCTGGTGGTGGGTAGGGTGTATGTTGATTACATCCTTGTACCGCTCTTCCCTCATCGCCCACCTGTCTGTGCCCACCACCTCCCCACCTATAGATCACCTGGACCAACTTGTTGGTCTTGATGGCTCCACCTGGGGTATCGAACCTGGATTTGGCCTAGGTTGGGATTGGTTTAAACTCAACACCAACCCGAAGGTGAAAAGTGTTCACCAAACTTCAGGTGAGTCGTCCCCGATCTGTGTGTTGTTGAACGAGTGTCATGTATTTCAGTTATTAGCTTACATTCAGATTACTTGGGATTCAAATATTTGTTCAGTATCATTAAATTGGTACCTTAATTACACGTATCTAATTTACCTCTCATTAACCTGTTCATTAATAGAAAAGTTTGAATAACTCGTTAATAAGTTCTTATCACGTTTATATGGGAAAAATATTTACTATAACACTAAATATCTTCCCATTAGCATCCATTAACACCCATTTTATCCCATTAGGAGCTTGAGAGGATCTGTCATCAAGATATTAAGACCATTAACACCTCCATTAGTTCCTCATTACCATAGTTACACCTATTAACATCGCCTTATCAGCCCCATTAACACCATCGCATTACACCATTAACACTGCTTTATTACCCCTATTAACTCCCCATTACTCCATTAGCTCCTCATAACCTGCCCCTTCACAGATCCTGAACATGGAGGAACAAATGACGCGAGTGTTGGAGGGACGCCACGCCTTCTTCACCTGGAAATACTACATCAAGACCATCATCGCTTCTCGTTATACTGACGATTTCGGCTACACCCCCATCCACGTCAGCCGTCAAGAGTTTATCCCTGGCTCCACCGGTTGGGGTGTCAGGTGAGTGATATCAGCATCTTGGGTTGTTTGCTGTATGTAGTGAGTGATGCTCGATTCATCTGTGTGATTTCGATTATCAGGCTGAGAGATTAATTACAGAAGTTAGAAAGAGAGAATCAAGATTTCTCGTAACGTGATTATACAACTTCAGTGAGATAATCGTGATGGAGAAAATAAAATGGAGTCACTGGAGATAGCAGGGCAGAACTTTCATCAGGGGTTTCTACCATAATCGCTTCACTGATAGTACAAGGGACCGCCAGACGCCTTTTGAGTAAATTCTGACACTGGGGTAACTTCCATAAATCTGCCATTGCATATTGAAGAGCCATGCATTGTTGATTTGACATTCTTAACATTTCTTTTAACGTTATGTGGCTACTGCAGGAAGGGGCTGCCGTTCCTGGAGCCCATGGATAGGATCCACGACCACCTGGTGGAGTCTGGACTCGTCAACTATTGGTTAAATGAACTCTTCGAGGCGGCCATGAGTGAGACAAGGGCAGAGATGAGAGACAAGAAGATGAAGGACTCTGGTACTGCTGAAGGCGTCGTTACTGAGATGAGCTTCCTCCCTACACAGTCCGAGGTACTCGAAGGTTCTACTATACGCTGGGGCACAATACATGTAGTACTGGGGAAGGCTATACGTATATTACTTAAACTTCCTAAGGTGCAGTCCACTCAAACGGTCATATTTCGGCCCTCACCAGTGTCGTTAATTCACGATACAACACTAAAGCCCACAGTAACATAGTTGACCCCCTTGACCGAGACCAAAAGTGATGCGGGTCACTAAGTTTGATTGTGATGCGACTATTACAGATTCACTTCCTGTTTACACCTCCGAAAGAAACCTAAATCAATAGAATTCATCAACTGTGTATATGCCCAATAACTTTATGTTCAATACTACTTTGATTCATGTCCGGCAACCACTAATTTGAAGACAAACAAATCAAAATCAAATCAAAATCAATGAGCATCATTACAGGTGTATTGATAGGGTTTAAGGCCATTGAATTATAATGTAAATGTTTATGGAATAGATGATCAATATAACTCAATCTCAAAGACTTCACTGTCATTGGATATAAAATTAAACGCTAAGGAAAAATCAAGTTAGAGATGACTTAAGAGACACGATTGCACAAGAGAGCTAAGGAGTGAGGTAGACACATTTAACAAGATAATGATTACTGTAGCGAGGTGACGAGAAAAGAACATCATCCACTGTGTCTGTTTTCCAGTCTTCAGGTCAAGGGGTGAAGAGGATGTTGGTGCTGAGCCTGAACCACCTACAGGGATCCTTCTACATCCTCCTGCTGGGGTACTGCGCCGCCTCCCTCGCCCTCCTACTCGAGAGGATTGTCTATACTGCCCGCAAGGACCCACACACACACACTCGTAAACACCTACACACACTCACACACTCGTAAACAAACAAACAAACAAACAAACAAACAAACACACGACCTTATAGGGCTGAGATGAGAGGACGATTGAGATAGTGGTGTACTGTTGATCTCCCGGTTATCTCCCCCTATCTCTCCACCTCTATATATATATATAATTATCTCTCCACCTCTCTATCTATACACATCTCCCTCTCTATATGTTGGCTGGATAATGTAGTACCATTTTTACCACTATTATACTAACATCGGGCCACTAATATGTCCTCCTCAGCCGTCAACACCCAAAGACTTGAAAAGACAGCTATATCACTCACACCCTCCACCTCACTCAAGGACGACCTGTCACCCTATAACTCCAGTTGATGACGGGAAGGACTAAAGTATCTTAAATCACCATAACTATTTTATCTGAAAGACAATGTAACTAGAGATCATTCAGTGACTCTACAGTAATTAGTGCCAATAAAACCCCCAGGACTAACTTGCTCAATACTAGACCAAGGTGAATAAATACTCATCATTATTTACGTGAAGAATGAATAAAAAAAACATCCCCAATTAGTGTAAAAACATCCATTGGTGAAATCAGAATATATGTAAATCCTGGCGCTTAAGAGTTTTATCAGCCTCTTCCGTTGGCAGGGGGGTGTGGGGGGTAAAATAACCGTATATTGGAATTAGTTCATTTTACCGCCATGCCTTCCTTATCAAGTCTTGTACTGCGGTGTCTTTTATGACTAAATTTTCTTCAGACCCAACACGGCTTAATAATGTGATTACTACACCGAGCAGGAAATTCCCACTAAATTTATATCGACAATATTCTTGTGTAATGATAACTTGAGTGTGTGTGTGTGTCCAAGTTTATGAAATAGTAGTGTGATGTAATAGGAGTTATCTTTGTTATCTTTCACACATGTTTTAACCCAAAGTAATTTATTCGTCTTATTTAATTTGTGTATTTTCAGTAATGTGGATGTGCTCAACTTAATAAACGCATTCAAGAATTCACTGTTTTATTATTTAACATCTACACTATATTGGCCATCATAATTCTGGCTTAGAGAGGATAATATGATCATGTATGTATGTATGTATGTATGTGTGTGTGTGTGTGTGTGTACACAGTGGTGTAATGCATCTACTGTGGCAACATTATATTAGTGCTAAGATGCAAGCACTGCTTGCTTCCTCTCGCCTAGCACAAGGCTTCCCCTGCCAGTACACAGCCTCTTCACCATCAAGACTCCTGCTGTGCCTCCTGTGGCAATACATGGTAACGGTGCCTCGTGGGCCCAGGCTAGACCAGCAGGGAATCTCGGAGCAGCAGTGGGCCCGGGAGGAACAGCGCATAGGCCCACTGGCATGTGGGCACGCCCTGGCGCCTACCAACCCCTGCCCTACAGATTTACCTTGGTCGGTATAAGGCTACAGGAGTAAACTCCGAATGAAAATTCTGTGGTGGAGCCCCGCATCAAGCAGACAAGCTTCCAGAGCTCCAGTAAGACCTCAACGACGGTATAGGCAGAAGAGGTGACCACCATGGGAACCCAACGACTACACTGGCGGATGAAGGCAATGCATGATGGACAGTCTACTCATGTGAAACCCAACAAACTGGGCTATTGGGCAGTCCACTGCAACTCTCACTCTCCCCAGTTTTTGTAGCTACTTGCATCACTGCATCAGGAAAAGGGAGAGCCAAGATGTTTAGTTGCAGCCTGCGCTCCTGCCTCAACATAAATCAACTCGCGTGCAGCTATCGTCCAGCTCCTCATACTTTTCAACATCATAACTCGATAGACGAGTAGCGACGAGACCAGGCAGAGATGACTGCTGGGAGTCTCTAGTCACAACTCTACACATGTACGGCATAGATAAGATGGTCGTTTATGGCACGGTGATCTAAGCAGCAGTGCAATCCGGTCCTGTCTGTGAGACTGAGCAGCCCTTTCCAGGAGCTACTCTGCTCACCCCACACGGGGAGGGGGCTAGAAAAGGTGCCTTAAACATAGCCTGCCGTAAAAACCAACCTGACTGGGCAACTGCACCCAGTAAGGTCATCCTAATGTAGTCAAAAACAGTCACAGATCACAGCAAAACAAACTATACAACTTCTTATGGTCGCTGCATGGAATTTCAGGACCCTTCTGGATACTGGCACAAATGAGCATCCTGAATGAAGAACTGGCGTCCCAGCTCCCAGACGAGGGTCGACTCGCAGAACAGGGACCGGCTATATCTTCTTCTGGAAGGATAAGCCTGCTGGGGAGAGAAACCGCATTTATGGAGTTGGCTTTGCCATTCGCCAATCCATTCTACATACGCTAACTGAAATGCCTAGAAGAGTCAACCGACGCTCCACTGAATTACTCACGTCATGCCTTCATCAGTGCATAGATTCTGTACCCGTGACTTCAGCTGTAGGGAGCTGAAATTGTCTCTAAAAGTTGTACGTATATCAAGCAGTGGTCCTCCCCCACCCTGCTATATGGCAGCGAGACATGGGTCACATACAGGAGGCACCTCAAGGCACTTGAAAGCTTTCGCCAACGTAGTTTACATTCCATCCTCCGAGTTTGCTGGGATGACGAGACAACAAATCCCAGTATTCTGGCCATGTTGCCCGTATGGACGACAGTAGACTGCTAAATCAGCTAATTCACAGTGACCTAACGAATGGTAAATGTAACACTGGCGGACAATGGAAAAGGTACGAGGATAATCTTAAGACAAACCTGAAAGTGTTAAATCGACCCCCTCACCAGGGAGATGACCATTCTACATCGTAACACTTGGAGGAGCACCACACAAGAAGGTGTCAATACTTTCGAATTAGCCCAACTACATATCGAGGATGACAAGCCCCAGCGCTGTTAAGATGCTGCCACTGCCCCCCACTAGATGTAGCCCTCCATGTGCAACATCTGTGGACAGCTCTGCCAATCCTGTATCGGCCTCTCGAGTCACCTCAAAACTCACCAACGAAGGTGACAACCCTAATAATTCATATTATATCATAGCTGGATGATGATCATAATTGATTCCAAGTGACAGTAAAGCAACAGCAGTAGTGTGTTATCAGTTCATATTAGATAATTAACATTGTTTATGCCAATCAAGTATGTAATAGCACTTAACATCAGCCAGGTAACATCAGGAATTATTATTTAATGTAACTTTGGTTCAGAAATATCAGATAAAACAAATACATCCCATATATGAAAAGAGGGTGGGTGGGTGTGAGGGTGTGTGTGTGGGTGTGTGGGTGTGTTATCTCCTCAAGGTCCCTAGTAAAAAGTTCTTCCCCATTAAATAAACACATTAATCACCCATTGTTATCTTCGGGAAGGAGTCAGGGTCACATTGTTCAAGGAGTCAAGAACACGACATAACACCCTCTTGTTCTCTCTACTGTGTTATCAAGGTGTTATCATCGTGGTATCAAGGTGACTGACCGGTTAGTGCCATGTATATGAGGTGGTGTGTTATGTTTTAGGGGATGGTGTTATCTTGGTGTTAATTTTAGAGGACTTATTTTGGTGTTATTTAGATTAACGTTATTTTGGCGTTATATTTCTTATTTTCCCTTATTACTATCCTGATAAACATCCATCTCTAAACATTCATACACATTATCCCAATAACATTCCTCCTCCTATAAACATTAATGCCAACTACACAAAATTGCACTGTAACATTCAATAAACATTAGAACCCATACTACATTTCGAGGCATTTTATATTAGGTTAGTAAGAAATGTTGTATTATTGATTATATTATCCTACCCATACACGTAAAATATATACAGACCTACATTATACTTTTGTTAAGATGTGAAGAGTGAATAAAGAAAATAGTCGAATTACACATTGTTAATAATAATAATGACTAATAATAATAACACAGTGAACTAGACTACTATAGTATGTGACCTGAGATTGAGTTCGTGACCAGTGTCTACATTATTAAAAAATATACTCGTAGAGCGCAGAGGTTGATAGATCAATACATGCGAATCAGCAAGAGTTATCACTGTCAAGTACCTGATCGTGGTCTCTTCTGCTGACCTTTCATATTCACACATAAAAGGATGTCCAGGATTCTCTATTTGAAGGCACTATTACTACTACGAGAATGTTGGTCCTAACATACAGCCAAAGCTATACTGTATTCGCTACTTAATACAATGTTTTAGATATTGGTTCAAAGTATTATGAGCACAGCTGTGAAACGTCAGTCCTACCTCCAGTATTGTGAATCTTCAGCTCAAAGGTTCACTGCGTAAGGATGGATAAGCCAAAGCCATAATTCAAGTGTTCACTCTACTTTACTCACTACTGTATAACAGAGGCAGGAGTTGTGGGTTCACTTTGCTGTTGCCAATGTTTGTTGCTTTAAATCAAATGTTAACTGTGGTTGAGTAGTACTGTGAAGCCTCATAATAATTTGTGCTGAAAGTGGTCTCATGACCCCTCAAAATCATGGCTTCACTTGTCATTCAGCTTCACGAGCCAAGGATCAAAGTCCAAATGTTTCCAGTGATATCTACAACGACTACCACGTTATAGCGGTCAGGGGCAGGTCCGTGGTGCCAGGAGTGGTAGGGTTGGTTTCCTCCTCCTCTAAAATCTGCAGCGCCACCATGACGCTGAATCCCAGCACTAGGGAAAGAGCCGTACCCAGCCACCAGTGGTCTTGGTTCGTTCCCTCTCCAGAACCTCACAGAAGGTGACATACAAGATCGTGCCTCCAGCAATCGATTGCAGGACATTGAGAGCAAAATGCCGACAGCAGATTCTTGAGGCGAGGCAGACAACACAAGGCTCCCTATGAGGCATCCAATAGGAGAGGCCAAGGAGAAGATGATCATGGAGATTAGGAAAGGTTTGAGGGACACCCCAACTTCCAGAAGCTCCATAGCCATACTAAAGCCAATCACAAGCTTGTGAGCGCTAAGAGCACCGAAGAGGATCCAGACGCCAGTAACGCTGTCCTCAAGACCAACTGCCAGGCCTTCCATGATGCCATGAAAGGACAGTGCCACAACCACCACTATGGCCCCCGTTACTGACGTGCTGCTGTCGATAGGCGCAGCTTGATGCTGGTAAGTATATTATGGACACTGTGCCTCGGGGCTTCCATTTCTAAGCCCTTATTAAGGGGGCCGTCGTCTTCAAAGGCCTCATTCGTTACCGCCACACTTCGGACAGCAGTGTGGCTGCTAGTGGACTGACGGCTTTCAGACAGCCTGCTGCTCATGCTCTCAGAAATCCTCTTGTGCTGAGCTTCTTTCTTTGCCTCCTCAAAAGTTTTGGCATCGGTGTGAATCACTTCCATTTCCTTTACTTCCTCTACCTTGTGCTGTTGTCGGTGATCAATCCAGGTGTGGACAATTTCCTCCAACAGATAGACAAGAAAGAACCCGGCGCACAAGATGACCTCCGCCACGGGGAAGGATGTGCGAGTCATTAACCCGTCATTCATGGCAGCCTCGTAAGTCTCCCTCGTCTCTGGCAGAAGATGTACGAACACGATGGAGAGGACGCCGGCCCCAAAGCACAAACATCCCGCCAGGATTAACTGCAAGTTGTAAACATTTTGTGATATATGGTATGTCGTCCTTACATGATCTTGCAGCTCCTGACACAAACACCAGGAACTGATAAATATGGTTATTGATATAAAATTGGTAAATAAGGTCTATGACACCCGTTTAACTAACAGTTACTACGTTAACAGCACAGATCTATGCTAAACTTGACTGCATAATACACAATCACACTTGGGAAAAACCTCCAGTAAGGCTAGCCAAATATTTTATAACAAAGATAATAAATACCAAATTGGATTGCTTTTGCTCAGATGAGTTTATTGACGTAAATCATGAAAATCTCATTTGACATCATATTCGATGACAGGATTCACGTCCTCAAGGGTTCTCACAATGGGAACTTCTTTTATGTAAAAATATAAGATTGTACCAGACTGATCGACTTAACCCTTTG